ATGAGGTCTCGCTGCCCAGGCGGGTCTCGAACCCGCGGGCTCAGGCAATTCACTCACTTCGGCCTTCCAAAGCGCTGGGATTACAGGCTGAGCCACCGAACCCGGCCTGGATGCTTTTTTAAAGCCACCACTAAACGTCGCGCAGAATTCAGCCGTTCCATGGACAATGGGTATTTGCCAGGCTCTGACCCTGGCTTGCTGATCTGGAAACTTGAGTCTTGGAATGTGAGCCCGCCTTGCAATGTAATGTAAGTCGGTGTGGCTCATACGGGCCCTGAGTCGGGTGTCAAGGAGGGGAGGGGCACAGAGAGGGCGTTCATGTTCCTCTGTGTCCTTCCAGTCCAGGAACGAGGGGCTGTTCTCGTCGGCAGGGCCTCCTCCTTTCCATGTTCAACCAGCTGCCGGCAGGCCACCCTCCCATCCCCCACAGTGAAGGACCCAGAAGCCTCACGCCCACCCATCCTCACCCATCAGAAACACAGCTCCAGACCCTCGTCAGAAGCCTGCCTTCCCACCACCCCAAGCTGATGCCTGTGAGCAGAAGATAGCTTCTTTTCAGATGCAGCCACTTCCAGGCACAGTCCTGAATTCAACAGCTGCCACCCCTGCCCTTGGTGTAACCGACACTCTCTTTTTTCTGTACATAAGAAACCTCGTGCTTTACTTACTATTTCAAAATTGTCCATTTTAGGAAGTATTTAAGTTACAGACTTAAAAGGAAAACCACTTGGAACCCCGTCGTCCAAAGAGAGGCACTGTGAGGAACTGGTTCCAGAATTCGTCTGTGCGCATAAATGCAGTCTGGAGTCCGCACTGGTTCATGCTGTTTTATAATGAGCCTCATTCTGACATTTCGGTCCCTTTTCTCAAGGCCACTTAACACTCTTTCAAAAGTTTCCCTCAGTTAGGTACTTTATTCCATACAAGTTAGTATATGGGGGAAGGGACCAAAAAAACGCGGAATTTATTTATTGAAATGTGTGGAGCCAGGCGCTGGGGCTCATGCCTGTCATCCCAGCACTTTGGGAGGCGGAGGCGAGAGGATTGCCTGAGCTCAGGGGTGCCAGACCTGCCTGGGCAACTGAGACCTTGTCGCTACGATAAACCAAAAAACTAGCTGGGTGTGGTGGCCGACGCCTGCAGTTCCAGCTACTTGGGAGGCTGAGGCGAAAGATCACCTGAGTCCAGCAAGTCAAGGCCGAGGCGGCCATCAGCATGTGACTGCACTCCAGCCTGGGCAACAGAGGCAGACTCCTAATCAAAAAAAAAGTTGTGTATTTATTCTTACGTTTGAAGTTCTGTCACCTTCCAAGCCCTCCCTGTCGGATGCAATCCTGTATCGAGACGCTTTTTCCGCTGCTCAAAGCAACTTTTCTGAGCTCGTTCATGACAGTGATGCCTTTGAGTGCTTCTGCCGTTTGTTGTTTCGCCTCTACCACGTCAACAGAGCGTGTCTCCCGCAGGACGTTTTCAATCCAGGGAAAAAAAGTCACTTGGGGTGAAACTGGATGATGAGGCGGGGGGGGCACAGGGGACTTGTCGTTTTTGTCCACGCACAGTGTGGGCAGGCGCACTCATAAATCACCCATGAGGAATCGGGTGAATCCGTGGAGCCTAAAGCAAATTCGCTACGTCTGACACAGCCTCTCACCACAACACCGGGTGGTCCACGGATGCCAGTGGGTCCCTAGAACACGAGAAACCGAGGCCACTTCGTGTCCCGCCAGCCACGCCCGGTGTGGGACAGCCTGGACAACACTTGGGTTGACCGGCTTCTCCAGACAGCCGGGCTGACGGGAATGCGATGATCTTGTGGCTTTCGTGTGCGTTTCACGACTGTTCATGAGTTTGGGCGCTGTATGGGTTCTAGTCCATGTTAAATGACTATTTGTGCCTCTATGTTGTAACATATTCAGGTCTTTTTCCTACTTTTCTTTTCTTTTTCAATTTTTTAGAGACGAGGTCTTTCTCCGTCGCTCAGGCCACAGCACAGCAGTGCAAGCATCGCTCACCCACGGCAGCCTTGAACCTCCGGGGCTCAAGCAAGCCTCCCGCCTCAGACTTCCAGGCAGCTGGGACTACAGGCAGGGGCACCATGCTGGCTAACTTTGAACTTTATAGAGAGACCACGTATTGCTCTGTTGCCCAGACTAGTCTCGATTCCTGGCCTCAGGAAAGCCTCCGACCTCCGCCTCCCAAAGTGCCGAGATTATAGGACTGAGCCTCGGCGTGCAGCCCACTTTTTTCTTTGAGAATACTTTTATTTTAGGAGTCCTTTATATCTTCGGGCTATTAGTCTAATCGTTTGACAGTTATGTGTTGGAAATATTCCTTCCCAGTCTGTAGTTGGTCTTTCTTTTCATGATGTCTTTTATTGAAAACAAGTTCTGAATCTCAGCATGGTCAGATGTGTCGTCTTCTTTGTGGGCTGTGATCTATAGCTTGCTGTCCTTGTAAACAATCTGTCTCTGACCCGATGTCATGTTGGCATTCTTCCGGTTTTTTTCTGAAGCCCCCGCTTTGCATTTTGGGGCTTCACAAGGAGTGGCCTTTTGCACGTGGTGTGAGGGGAGCTTTGGACATCCCCTGAATCCCAGCTGTCCCGGACTCCCCCCGCTGACCCGCACGGCTGTCTTGTCCGCAGCGCGCCTCGGCCATGGCCGTTCCAGGTCTGTCCGTCCTGTTCCCCAGCCTTCTCTGTCTTTCTCCGTGGCCATGACGTCTGCAGCCACAGTGGGCTTCGACCCACAGCGGCATGAGCACCGTGCCCACTTTGTTTGCGGGCCCCCTCCCGCTGTGGGAGCTCCTCTGTCCTCTCGATAAACCCTGCCTTCAAAAAAAAAGAGTCCCCAGCACTTTGGGAGGCTGAGGAGTGCCTGAACTCCGGAGTTTGAGACCCGCCCGGGCAACTTGGCGAGCCCTCATCGCGACGATAAATAAAAGATCAGCCGGGTGTGGCGGCGCGCGCCTGCAGTTCCGGCCACTCACGAGGTGGAGGCAGAAGGCTCGCCGGAGCCCGGTGGGTCGAGGCTGCGGGGGCCGGGAGTGGCCGCCGCCCTCCGGCCTGGGCCAGGGAGTGAGACTCCGACTCGAAAAGAAAGAGTTCTTTGCTACACACCTAAGAGCCTGTACACGGGATTTGTATGGGAATTACACGGAATCTATAGATTATTCTGGGAGAAGATGTCTGTGAGAGATTGAGTCTTTCTTGGATAAGTATGGTCTAGCTCGCCTTTCCTTTGTGTCTTCCTTGATGCTTTTAAGGCTAGTTTTGAGATTTTCTTCATGCTTTTATTTGTTTCCTTTGTTTCATTTAGCTTCCTGGCTCTTTTAGGTGTTGTTGCGTGCGGTTGAAACAATATTTTAAATTCGAACTTAACCCTTTGTTGCTGATATCTAGAAATCCTATTGATTATATATCTTGTCTATACTCTTGCTAAACCTTACTCTTATTAATTCCAATATTATGTCTGTACCTTCTTTATGGTTTTCTATGTAGAAAAGTATTTCCAACTCGAGTAATAGTTTGATTTCTTTCTTCCCAAACCTATACTTTTTGATACTTATCTTATAGTGTTGTGTAAATTTTTATATTAAATATGTCTATTACAAGTTCATCAG